CTTTATAAAATTTATAATATTAAACCAAAATAAATTATTTCATTATTAAACTTAAATTAAATTATAATAAAAAAATAAATTACATAAAAATTGAGAACTTTTAAATAGTTGATTTGATATTAATATTGATATATATTTTTTTTCAAAATTTTATGATATCTTCAAATTTATATTTTATTCAAAAATAAAATCATTATTGATTTTCTTAAAAACCCATAACATCGACAGAGACAAATAATAAAATAAAACATTAAAATTGAGATGTGTCTCGCTGCATTACACGAGTATTCTTCTAGTAAACATTAATGGTGATTTCTGTAGCTTATTAAAATTAGATGGTTTATAAAATAAATATCCCCAAAATATCTATCAATAAAAAGTACCCAACTAATTGTTAACAAAGAAAAAGGATTAAATTTTTATTTAATTAATGAGAAAAAATTGCCATAGATTTAGACGCGGATTCCCGCGCACTACAAAAATTACCTTAAGTTTTTATTTTATTTATTTAATTCCTTATTACACAGCTAAAAGATTTATAACAGAATTATTTTGATTTAGATAATTACATCAAAATTCCAGTCAATTCCCATATAAATTCGAATACTATTTTTTTATCTTGGTTTTACTTCGATACTAACTTTTATTAATTTGATTATTTTAATTAAAAATTAAATAACTACGAATTTGATTTAATTTTTTCGATTAGATTGATATCAACAATAAAAATATAACAAAAAACATTTTATAGATCAAATCATAAATCATATTTAACTTCTAATATGATCTTAGAATACTCATATATAAAAAAAAAGATGTTTACTTGAATTAAAGTAAATGGAAACAAATCAGTCAATAATGTCGGTAATGGACAAAACAGCCATTTAACAATGAATAATAACTATCGACTATCATTAAACAAAATAGCCACGAGATCTTTGGGTTTTAATCTAATATCTTTATCATTAAATCTTTTTAGACTATTATTGACTTGCCTTATAACAAAAATATATGATTATCTGAGACGTTTTTATAATTAAATAATGAGTTACTTCGGGTACAAGTTTGGTGGATCCAAGATCCAGAAAGAGGAGTGGGTGGGCAAATGCTCGGCCCACATGGCACCACTACTTAATTGCCAATGCCATTGAGATGACCTACATACATACATACATCCATAGTTCCATACAAACACCTCTACGTTTTACTCAACAAATTAAAATACAGGCAGGCAGGGCTTCTTTTTTCCTTCTCCTTTTCTTCTCTCTCTTTTCCAACTTCCCCCCTTCTCATATTTCTCTGCGATTTTTCCTTTAGGTTAACAAATTATCAGGGGGATCTGATGTACTTTCTTGTGGATCTCAACTACTCTATTGATCATGACTTCAATACAAAACAATCAAGGTTTGATACGTGACCTAGTTTTTTTTATAACTATCTTCTTGCTTATCTTTCAACTTCTCTTGGATGAATTCATACTGGAATTACACGATCCCGGAATTCAGTTTATGAGTTTTATTTTTCTTTTCGTGAACTTCACCAACATATTGTTGTTTTTGGTTGATTATTTTTTTGTAACAGTTAGCTAGACAGTCGTAATATGGTTTATTTAGAGGTGGGTTGAGTGCCTTTTCTTTTGTCTTTTAATTGAATACGTAATTTTTTTATTTTTAACTGTCCTAGGTAGTCTGGATGATCATAGCCCCTTTTGGAGTGGATGATTGAACTTACTCCGTGGATGTTTGAGATTCATTAGTGCAACTATTTACTATGTTTACGTGATGGAGATGATTTTCAACGAACAACTCTTAGCTTTTATTAAAAACCTAGACATTACAGTACTCCACTCAAGGGATTTATACATTCTGAAGGTTATTTGATTCAAGGAATCCCATGTGAATCTTGTCTTATTTTTAGTTCAACTAGGTTTAACCCGTCTGATCACCGCTAGGATGTCCACATGGCTGATTTTCTGAGACTGCAGTATGCCGGTATAAGTAGGATAAAGTATAATGATATTTCTTTTAAGTTTAAGAGGGGTACCATGTGATAAGATACCTGTGGGAAGCCACTTAAGGATTTGTGGTTATCATTCCAGATGATAAACATGCAAAAGCCAATTCCTTTCTCATTTTTTTCTTGAAGGTGTAAGAGATGTAGTTGCTAAAGATTTACGAAGCTGCACGAGGAGACCTATGCATGGATCAAACTTAACTGAGCCAGCAAACAGATCAATGGCATACTTGCATGTGCATGCCGAGGGGGTAGATGTTGGGTGTTAGACTGTTTGGCAAGCCTTAGGTGAAGATTACAATATCTTCTTGTAGTAACAACAAATAGAAAAGAGAGGGGAGATGATGACAGAAAAGTCAAATCAGAGAATCACCATAAGTTATTGTGTTTTTTTAAAGTATGAACATGGAATTCAAAGAATGACATTTGACATCCTTAATTTTGTTATACTTGCGTTCTAAAAGGATGTTTGGAATCTTTCATTATTTCTTCAACATAAAGAACATCATATGACATCCCATTATGAAATCTAATATAAGACAATTCATGAATGAATTAAGAATCTCTTCTTTTTTAAAGGCTTCCTTATAGATTCACCTGTTTAAGTGTATGTAGGGAAACTTGCACTTAAACTTCTTGCACTAATTGCCATCAGAGGCCCTGCCCAAGTTAGTCCAATAGTCAACTCTGTTGAAAGACAATGACATATAGCAATTTTGACTCATGTTAGAAATTGTGTTTTTGCAGACTGCAATATAATGTAATATAATTCAGTATATGTTTCCTGCTGAACAATGTAAACTTCATAGTAATTAATAATAATAATAATGATAACAACAATAATAAGAGTAAATTACACTGTTGGTCCCTGTGGTTTATACCAAATTATGGATCCCTTGCCTAAAGTGAAATAATAATGCTGAGTGAACTTACTACTAGTTTATAATATTACTAATAAAGAGTAAATTACACCCTTGACCTTTTAGTTACTGTGCCAAACTTTGATTGCAAATCAGCACCCAGGCCCAAACAGTTTCAAATTATATAAACTCAAAGAAATCATAAAGAATATAGACATCATATACACCTAACAGCGCATCTTCACAGACCAAGAACTACAATTTTTTTAGTGAACATGTCACAGCTTCCTCCTATATTTGACATGACACGAATCCTCTTGAAAGAGAGGGGTGCCTTTGGGAACGTGGACACAGGTGGTGCATGGCTGTCGTTAACTCGTGCCGTAAGGTGTTGGGTTAAGTCCCGCAACGAGCGCAACCCTCATGTTTAGTTGCCATCATTGAGTTTGGAACCCTGAATAGACTGCCGGTGATAAGCCGGAGGAAGGTGTGGATTACTAGCGATTCCGGCTTCATGCAGGCGAGTTGCAGCCTGCAATCCGATTTAATCTCACAATAACTCCGGATTTAATCCCATAGAGATGCCTGTACCAGAAATCACAACACATGACCAACAAAAAGAGTTCTAATTTTTGCCTTCAATCTCATTATGGAACTATTAATATCATCTAACTTTGCACAAGAGTTCTCTCCTTGCACAGATTGTGTTTTAATTATGTTTGTTGTGGTCTGTTGCTTATATTTTTAAGCTGAGCTTGAGTTGATAACTGTACATTTTAGTTGCTGATCAAAACTAAAAAAGTTTGAGGTTTGAGTGTTTAGATTTGGGTATTCAGTTTTTTCTGAAGGAATTTTAATGTTTCTAAAAGTATAGATTATTCAAAATGGGATTTTATACTTAAATAGAATTCCAACTGTTAGTGTGTGATTGGCGGTGGTGGCTGATGATTGATATAGTTGATGGTGGCTATGGTAGGTGTTGGTGATGTGATGAGGTTGAAGATGAAGATGGAAGAGGAAAAAAGCAAAATATTTATTTGGCCAAAAGTTAATTTGGCCTCACTACTAGGGTAAAAGTGTCTTTGCATAATGATGCTTTGTGTTATACTCAGACAAAGGCGAGTGCTGTTCATTCTTTTTAAATATGGATGGAATTGTAATTGTTGAACTTCACCCCCTGACAGAGGGGTTATGACTATTTTATGAGGGTCTTTAGCAAAAATTAAATTTCACGTGTTTGTTATGTGCAATTTCCCCATATTTGCTTAGGGGGATGATGTGCATATGGTTATTCTAATCGGTGTCTTCTCTTTGGGACAAAGGGAGTATGCTGCTCCTTTGACCTTTTTCTTTTGCAAGCATACTCATGCATACATGCTCTTTTTATTTGTGATTTACATCATATTCATTTTGTGCCACTTGCTAGAATGATTTTAATTGGATGCCTTGGGTCTTCTTTGACCTGGTATATCTTTTTGGGTGTGATTGGTGCATGTTTCACAGTTGTATATTTCTTTGAAGTATTAATAAGCACTTGGAAAGAATGATCTCTCTTAATTCTCAACCTATGGAAATATGTGTTGCGGCTTTAGCTTGGTCAACTCGGTAGCACTCGAGTGTTTATTCCAAAAATAATTATCTAATCATGCCAAACACATGATATCTGGTGTTACTATGAAACGTTTCACACTACTTTAACTACTTTAAGTTCTAGTATTCTCAAATTCTCACTTATAGCACCGATTTTAATATATGTCAAACATGATTGTCAATGTTCCCTTGGGCCACACTTACCTCTCTTGACGTCTGTAATCCCGAGATGTTTAGGCAATGAACTTGTCAATGCCATTCATTTTTTTTTCGTGGGTTGGTAGTCATATGTTAAAAGAATTATAGGATGCTTGGATGTGTCCTGAATTCCCAAGCAGTTTTTACCACAATGAAACTGTCAATATAGTATAATTTGCTAGCAGGTTGGTAGGACTTGGGTAATAGAGTTGTTGGCCGGTTGTCCCTTGGTTCTTGTACTGCATCTAGTTATGGAGCAATATCGAGTCTTGGATTTGTACTGATGCTGGTTATGTTCTTTTATTGGTGAGAGAGAGAGAAGTGCGTATATTGGGGAGAGGAAGATAAGTGCATATATTGGAGAGAGGCAGGGGCCATGATTGTCTTATAGTTTTTTTTGCATGTATGCATCTACAATTTAAGGGCAATGAAGGATCTATGTTGCATCCAGAACCATCCCTTGCTGGTGTTACTAATTTAAGGGCAATGAGGGATATGGTAGATGTGGTCTCTAAGAAAGTGTTGGTTCATGATCGATCTAAGGGAGAGAAACTTTAAAAACTCCTTAGCCTAGGAGAGGAAAATGAGAGCCGAAGAGAGATGAGAAGAGATGTAGCTCTTTTATTGTGAGATTTAAGGTTTCTTTGCCTTCTGTGCTGCATCTTTAATTTTCTTCTGTTATTGTTTAGTACCTTTGGTATATGTCTAATAGTAGAAGATAATTGTCACAACCATGGCGGTATTAGAGGATTAGTGACTCTAGAGCACAACCTAGTCTTCAGGCTGGAGAGGGGTCCAAGAAGCTACGAATGCTCTCTCATTCACCATAATAAAGAACATTTATTGGTCGCTCATCCATTTACCATCAAGGTGCTGATATTTTGTTGACTTTGACTCTTTGAGCACCAAGAAAAATCGTTATTCCATTTATATCCTCATTTATCTTCTACTACCTCATCGAACTTTCAGGGTTGTGCATATGTGCCTGTTTCATCCTCATTGCTTATTGGCATAAAATTCATGAGATCATATTAGTAGCAAAAGTCCTTTTACTCCTTTTTCTATCTGGGCCTCAGAATTTCTCCTATGAGCAGCATGTCATAGCACTATAAGTGAGAAAAACAAATCAACTAAAAATAAGGCGTTCGCTGTATGCTATTTGTATGTGTAAAATTGTTTGATTCTATTCAATACAATATATCACCATCGAACCATCAAATATTTACTACTAGATATTAATTACCAGTAAAATATTCCCCACTTCAACAAATTATAACATGATAATACTTGATGGTTACATTTTATCATTCAAACATGATATATCAACTATAGTCCTTACAGCCTATAATTTATACATCAAGCACATAAAGCAGAAAACAACTATCAGGCTTCCTACGTAGAAACAAGAAGATGGAAGATCTGCACATTGAAGGAAGGAGAAGAAAAAAAGGTGAAGAACTGGAGTCGCACTGCTTGATGATGAGTGTAGAGTGGAGATGCTCTTGATGATGAGACGAGGCATATCCACTGTTGTGATGTGAGTTTTGAGTTTTCTAATGCATCTTCGATACATGACTTATTAAACTGGGGTTTTAATTTTTTAGGTAAAGGAGGTCTTGTTTCTGTATTTAAATTTTTATGGAAGTAAATTTGGGCTTACAGTGATGACAAATTCTAGAAACCTCTTCCAATCTAAGTCATATGGCTTCACTCAAAATTACAAGGCAATTGCCATTAAACCTACATTAAGGGAAAACCATGCCAGTTGGTGTGTGCTAGGACGACAAGGAACGCTTTGATCAGGAAATGCTGTGACGATCTATGTGTTAGGCAGAGTTCTTGGCCTACTAATAGAAAATTGGCACCATACTCATGATAAGGTCATGGATCTGACTAAAAATTGATTCAAGGTCATATACCTAAATATCTTGTGTTAAGCACAAGTAATTGCTTCTTCTACGATCCATGTAGGATTTATTAGGGTTCCTTGACCACTCTGTAGTTGTATAGCTGCCACTAGTGATGCTGTAAATGTTAAAAGTATTCTGTAGTAGCTCAACTAGTCTTAGGGCTCTTCCCTAACTTCGAACTTAGAAAACTACCATCAACTCGTCCCTTTTTTCCTTCCTTCTTCAATGCTCTTGCTCGTTCACCCTGAGTGTGATTTGGATGCCTGGAAATTTTCATAACTTTGCCTCTTGCCATTATTATCCTAGACAGTATGAACAACTTCCACTTCCTATTTGGCTTTGAGATCCGATGTATTTGAAGCGAATCAAGGAGTGGATATATCCTAATATCCATCTATCTAATCTAATTTATTTGCCTGAGGAGTAAATATGCTATCTAATTTTATATCTTTGGTGCAACATTTCAAAATATGCCAAGTTGAATTCAATCTTGCTCATTTTGCTATCAGTCATTGCTGAATGGAACAAATAAGCAGAATGAAAGAAATTATGAGTTCATGCTTTTGGTTGAATTACAGAATTAAACTATAGAATGAACGATGCTTTTTAGAGTTTAGAATTTGAGTGATGTAACATATAGCTGCACAAGTCAACCTGATACCAATTATAACAGCCATGGCCATATCTCAGGGTTAGGAGCGGGAGTTCAGGGGAATAGATTGAGGTAGGTGGGAGGGAAATAATTAGAAACAATTGATGAGGAACTATAAGTAGAGTTAAGTTGGATATTTCTTTTCAAATTCTAGCTTGATCTTATAACATACAATACATAATGAAATACGAATATTGTTGACTGCAATATCCCTGCTCTTAATATGTAATGTTATTTGCAGATGCTAATTCAATACGAGTCCATCTACTTTATAGAATATTTAGACCACCCCCAATGATGCACTTATCATTAGCAGAAAAGGGGACTGTTATAGCAATTCTGAAAGGTCCTAGCGGTATCCATGAAGTGTTAGCATATTATGCATAGTTATGAAGTTTCTTAAAACTAGAAGGGTACTTGCTCAATGTAGCGAGATACATCTTGATTTTAATGTTTCGTTTTTTTTTTGTCTCAGTCGATGTTATAATACGGTTTTATGTGGTTTTGAGAAAAGGTTAATGTTTTTATTTTTGAATAAAATATAAATATGAAGATATCATAAAAATTTGAAAAAAATATATTGATATTAGTATCAAACTAACAATTTAAAATTTCTCTTTTTTGTGTAATTTCTTTAATTCATATTTTTTAATTTTTGGTTTAATAATATAATTTTTTATAAATATAATAATTAAGTATTTTGTTAGAATTCAATGATTATCTTAATTATATTCTAGATTTTTTATATTTAAAATGAGATGTTTATCCTCTATTTGATTATGTTTATTTGTAGTTAGTTACACAAATTCAAACATGGAGCTTTAATAAATTGTACTTGCATACAATTTACTTGTAATCTTGAATTTTAAGTAATATGCATCAATAAACAGTACTTAATGCATAAAAAATGGTTTTTAAGAGTTTTGGTCAAATGCTTTATAATATAATATTGATAAGCAAGAGGATAGAGTTATGAGATAAGCATGCCCACTGTGGCTCACTTGCTTTCTCCACGTGTCTCCTTTTTGCTTATGGTGGAAACAATGCTGCATATTCATTCCCTGATCCCCATGTGTTGTTCTTGTTGACGTATGTGCATTTGACTTTAATTTTCTTAAAGTTGATTATAGGCTTTGGTGTGCGAGACATAATCTTTATGGCATTTGTTGTTATAGAAGTGGTTTGTGTAGCTTTGATATCAGCTCTGATTTTGTTCGTGACGTTCGGGGCCGTTTACCAAAAACTTACCCGGTAAGCACTTACCGGTAAAATTCAACACTATCACTTATTGGGTAAGATTTTAGTCCACCAAAATGGCATCGTATGCAACATTTTACCAGGGAAGCGCTAACCGTGGCAAGAGTCATCACCCTCACTTACCGGGTAAGACTCTTGGTCCTTGCCTCGCTCTTACCAATAAGATTCTTGGTTCTTACCATATTCATATGGTAACGTAATGCGACTTGGTAAGCTCTTACCCGGGTAAGCATTTGGTAAACAGTCCCAAATGTCCGCAAATGTTTAGTGCTGTTCCCTGGCCTAAAGTAAACATGCTGTGTATTATGAAGGTGCTTTAGTAAAGTATAACATGGTTTCATTTATTATACTTGATCAACATACCATGTTTTAGCTTTTCTTTTGGGGCAACTGCCTGGTTTAAAAGGTCAAAACCTGGCATCACCTAGTGTTTATTACTTCTGTTCATTAAATTATAGATATACAACTAGAGGGCTAATTATGTATGTGTCGTTTTTCCATATGTATAATATAGGTTCAAACAAACATGCTATCAGAAGTTACCCCCTTCTCATAATTTAGATTTTGGTTGTCAAGACTATTGGTTTAAGTTTTTTTTGATGATCACACTTGTTTCATAATTGATATTCTGATGATTGATTTTTCTAAATATTCTTTGATTGCAGAAACTATTCAACCCAATTGTGAGGCCCTGGCATCAGGCCTCCCAAGCAATGGACACCCACAGACGCAGCAGTGTAATGGGAGTCCAATGGAAGGGTTTATAGAACCCAAAAATGACGTCTATACTCATGCAAATTTTCTAGAACTAGATCGCACAGTAGCCACTGAATTACTTGAATCTTCAATTGAATCCAACAAAAAACCAGCCTACCTTGGTTCATGGTCTTTGCATCCTGACATTAAAAAGCCACAGCTGTGCCAGTTGAATAGTATTGAAGGCCAATTTTATCCTTTCTTGGTGAATAATAGAGTTCAATATGCTCCATTTACCATGTTCCCTCAAAGTTACCCAAATGATTATCAGCATCAAGAGTTCCATTATTTTGTGGTAATTGATTTTGAGGCTACATGTGACAAGGAAAGGAACCCTCATCCCCAAGAGATCATTGAGTTCCCTTCAGTGATAGTGAGTAGTGTGACTGGTCAACTGGAAGCTTGTTTTCAAACATATGTGCGTCCAACATGCAATCAGCTTCTAAGTGATTTTTGCAAGGATTTGACCGGAATACAACAAATTCAGGTATTTTCAAGTTTATCCTAAAGTTATTCATATCATTAATTATGTTTGTAAATGTTATTCATTGCTCATCACTTGAATGCTCTTTCCAACATTATTGATTTATGCCATTAATTAGTTAAGCTGTTAAATCAATTGGATAAACTAGTCTCGCTTGTGCTTTTATAAAAAAGATGATTACACAAAAGAAATAGAATGACAATTGATGAATAACAAGAAAGAAAAAAGAAGATAAAACTGTATCGTAACTTGTTTACAGTATGACCATTGGGGGCAACTTATCTTGCTAGGCATTTTGCTTTCTTCAATTACTGCCGTTGTATCATGTCAGTGAATCAATTAAAATTGCTAAAGAATGTGCTGGCACTGCTTGGTTTTGTCTATGCTAAATATTATAGCCCATAGTTTTTTCTCTAAAGCAGAATTCCTTTAAGTTGCAACTACAGCGTATGACCGTCTCCTTCGTACACTAGTGATAGATTGCATAAAGACCTACATGGTGAAAATTGTGATTTGATGGTTCCAAAAATTGCTTTTCAGTAGCGGGAAAGAAACGGAAGCCACAATAGAGAAAAAAAATGAAAATGAATAAATAACAATAAAGAAAAAAAAGAACCTTTGACCCCACCTTTGGGGGCATCTTATCTTGTCAATAAAGAAAAAAAAAGAACATGTGACACCACTGTTGGGGGCAACTTATCTTGTCAATAAAAGAAAAAACAGAACATGTGACACCACCGTTGGGGGCAACTTATCTTGTTTGCTTTTGTATCGCCTCCATTTATTTTGTAGAAAGCAGAATGGAGGGTTAATTTGTGGATGCATGTTTATTCCAGGTGGACAGAGGAGTTACTCTTAGTGAAGCTCTCCTTCGGCATGACAAATGGCTTGAGAAGAAGGGGATAAAAAATGCCAACTTTGCTGTCGTTACATGGTCAAACTGGGATTGTCGTGTCATGTTGGAATCAGAATGCAGATTCAAGAAAATTCGTAAGCCTCCTTATTTTAACCGGTAAGATAGGCTCTTGCCATAATTTCAAAACCACATTGTTTCTTAGTTTCATAGAACTGTATACAAGGGCTCGTCTGGTATAACTGTTTGGAAAGTCACCAACATAGCGTGCAAAATGAACATTTTATATTGTTATCAAGTTAGAATTTTCTGTCTTTCTCAAACTTCTGTAATTTTCAATTGGTCTGGCACAAATCTGGCATACAAGCTTCACATAACGAGAGTTCACTTCCATAAAGTTAAACCAAACACCTAAATGTGAGAACGGAAGTGTTTGAACCAATCTTATTTGTGCTTACTGCTGACACAAACTTGTTTTTCGGTTTTGGCTAGATGGATCAACTTAAAAGTTCCATTCTGTGAGGTTTTTGGTGGTGCAAAATGCAATTTGAAGGAAGCTGTCCAGATGGCCGGTCTATCGTGGCAGGGTCGAGCCCACTGCGGTCTAGATGACGCTAAAAATACCGCCCGCCTACTTGCTCTCCTCATGCACAAAGGTTTCAAGTTCTCAATCACCAATTCCTTGATGTGCCAATCAACTGAACACCATGCTTTCACTTGGAAACAGCAGCCTGTTGGACACATGCCTTTTCCTCCATACCATCATCACCTGCCTCATAAACCAAAAGATCTGCACTTCTTCCCACTGTTTTATCCTTGCTGTCACTGTGGCGTGAAAAGCAGCAAAGGGATGGTCCGAAAACCAGGACCCAAACAGGGCAGCTGTTTCTTTGGGTGCGGGAATTGGACTTCTGCTAGAGGTGCTCGTTGCCAGTTCTTCGAATGGGCTTGATTGAAAGTACCCTTCTACCCTTCATGGTATCTATCAGTTAAAGCTATGTGTACCTTTTTTGTAAAAAGAAGAAAAAAAGGGGGAAAATCGAAGCAGTTGGAGGTTTCTTCTGCTTCTTTGAAAAGTAAATATTTTTATGGTTGGCTCTAAAATGATATAATGTTTAAGTAGGGTGCAGAAGGATTTCCATCCATCCTATTAAGTTGAGTGAAGATTTTAGAGGAATTGGTAGTTTAGTTGGTTGGTCTGGTTTGGGGGGTGCTTTTGTTACATGCCTAATTATCTAAAATAATCCATGAAATGTGGGTAGTAATGCTTTGGTTTCATTGCGTATGCCTATTTGTCTTTGCTTTTGGGGGTGCAAATGAAGCCAATTGCTGTGTCTAAAACTACTGTTTTCTGTTTCTTTCCTTTTTGTTGTTTGTTTTGGATTTATGGCTGCCTTTTGTTTACACTCTTTTGGCCTTGAGTATGGTATGGTAAAAGGTTTGTGAACATTTGTGGTGAAGTAACTACAATTGGATTCTAGTTTAATCTGCATATGTCTTATCCACATGAGCTGAAAGAACCGTACTTTGAGTGGGGATATATCGAGTACGTTTGGTTTTTATTGAAGCAATATATGGTTCTATAAGCTTTACTTGTAGATTTCTGATGGTATCTATGTTGGTTTTTATGTGGAGTTATTGACCAAAACCTTGTTAAGTTTCTTCTTACACTTGTATTAATGCAAGCATATGGTATGTTTGATTTTTGTGTTTTGTGGTATGTTATCATTTACTTGGAGGATCCGAGATAGAGTTTTTTGGAGGGCCTTTTGACCATTCAAAAGCTTGTTTGTGGAAAAGCTTTTGAAGGAAGCTCCTTTTCTTTTGTTTGTGCAGTTGTAAGCTCTCACAAAACTTATATGGATCGGCATAACGGGTTCTTTAGTTCTAAATCTATTCTTCCAATAACCGGTCTTTTAACAAATTGTAAATTATTGACTTATCATACACTTATCCGGTAAGTGCTTATCGGTAAACTTAACACTATCATTTACTTACCGTATAAGATTTTACTCCACCAAAACGGTATTGTATGAAACAATTTACCTGGTAAGCGTTTACCGTGGTAAGAGTCGTTGCCCTCACTTACCGGGTAAGACTCTTGGTTCTTGTCTTGTTCTTACTGGGTAAGATTCTTGATTCTTACCATATTCATCCAGTAAGGTAATATGATTCGGTGTTCACTTAACCGAGTAAGTGTTTGGTAAACGGCCCCTTAATACTTGTGGTAAGTGAGCTTTTATGGCTTAAGCTTTGTTTATTACGTAGAACATCTTGTGTTGTGCACTTCCTCATGGATTTCATCTTGTGTTGTGCACTTCCTCATGGACCAAATGGCCATCCAACAGATGCATTAAATGTGAAGGCAAATTGGTCTTTTTATTTTTATGCATTTCAACAATTTTTAGTTATTCCTTTAAATCAGGAGCCAAATGCATATACTAGAACTTGAAAGGCTACATTGAAACGCTCAAGGGTTCGTCTTCTCTCTCTTTGCTTGTCATGATCCTTGTCGATGCTCTCACTTCATTGCCGGTAGCCACCACTTCCACTCTGTTATAATTTCTACCTTCATTCTTCTGTCCCTGCACAAACGAACCACCATTTCTGCATCCTTCCGCGAGCCTTCTGTCCTCTCACCATGTTTGGTCCTCTTCATGACCACCACTACTTAGCAGGCTCTTTTTACCTCACCATGTTTGGTCCTCTTCATGACCACCACTACTTAGCAGGCTCTTTCTACCCTCGTCTTGCTGATCTCTGCCCTGTTCTGATTGAAAACCAACACCACCTTCTTCTTTCTTTCTTTTACTGAAATGCTTTTGGGTAACGTTATTTTTAGTCTATTATGTAGGATTTTTCAAGGTTAAATAAAGTCTTTTAAGTTGTTAAAGAAACTTGTATTGTTTAAAACAGCAGATCGTCTCCCTCTTAACAGGCCCTTGCTGTTGATTTCTGGTCAGCGGCGGACGCAGAAAAATATATTATAGGGGGCACATTATAAAATAAAATAATAATTAACTTCAATTTCATACAAAAATGATAAAAAGTTACCTCTTACAACTGTGCCCTACGACTTTTCATCTTTTGAAATTGCGTAATTACATCATCATTTGAAACTGCGAGAAGTGCTTCTTTTTCTAT